TCTAACAATGTAAGTTTATCTATAGCTAGTAGTTGCTAAAAATAGTTCACAAGAAGATATGTCAATCTACCTCTATCCCATCCTAACTATACCCTTCCCAATCATACCGTCAAACTTTTCTAAAATAGATACCCAAGCCTGACCATCATCTTCCATACCCAACCCTACACAACTTAAAACCAACCCTAAGAAGGTAATAATTATCTCTTTTTCAGTGATGAGAGAGAAAAAAATCCAAATACCCATAATGGCAATAGTAGGGAAAGAGGTGCTGTCTTCTTAGAGTTACTTCCTGCTGTAATGGGGTGGCGGTGACTCTATGGGATCCTGTAAGGAAAAAAAATAAAACAAAGGTAAAGTCTTGAGAGAACTAGCTGTAACGTTTGTAGCTGGTCTCTGAGTGGCAGGTGATGCCCGACTCAAGTTCTTATCTGAAGCTCTGGCCAGAGTGTTATAAGAAGGTGCACCATCTCAACTAGCTGGTCTTGAATTGTCTAGAGTAGTATTAGTCCTAAACTGGTCCTAGAGAGGTGTTTAGTAGTTCAAAGACGTCAAGTTAAGTAGAGTGGATTGACGATGTAGTGGGTTCCTGTAGAGAGAAGCCTTTTCCTTGCCAGCCACTTTGGTTTTTCCCCACCAGTCGCCTGGGCTCTGCTGCATTGTAGTCCCCAAATAACACACAAGACGCTGTACTAATTATGAAGCTGTTGGCCTTGCTTGTTTCTTACTGGCTAGCTCTGACTTAAGTATTTATCAGATAATTGTTAATCTAAGTATTTCTCTTACCGGATAAAAGTTCCAGACCTCTTACTTCTCTGGCAGGCTACATCGTGACTCCCTGTGTTTCTCCTACCCAGAGTCCTCCTGGACTCCTAGTCCCACCTACCTTGCTTCCCTATTGGCCAAGAGTGCTTTATTGACATATACATAGGGCTTCCCCATCAGGGCCCCATCTTCTTTCCAGAGACTTCAAAGATTGTTGCTAGGAAATTTTACTGTCCACTGTGGAAGACTTAAATATTAACATCAACACAGAAAGTTTAACTTGAATAGGAATGCATACCAGGAAAAGAGGAGAATTCTGGGAAAGGTAACAATAAGGAAAAGAAATATGAGGGAAATTTGGATTTTTGGGGGGATAACAGAGTTTTGACAAATAATAGTCCTTAGATTTTGTTTTCTTACACCAGTTGGCTTCTTGATATGCGACAGAGACTCTGAATATTACTTTAACAACATGTTTGAGTTTAGAGAGGGAAAGCCAAATCTGACTCCAAAGCCAGCATTGAATTTTATGTGAATTGGGACTATGACTGTCCTGGGAAGTAAGGAGATACAGGGTTAGTATAAGGATTTTACCCTGAATAGATGTTGGTACCATAAGTCAGATTCTTCTTTGTTTGATGGTATGCCAGTAATATGCTTTATATTACAATATTTAAAAAACTGTTCCAATTTGTTGGAGACATATGCTGGAGCACTGTCAGTTTTTATTTGTACAGGTAAACCCGTAATAGTCATTACCCCTTTCAGAGCTCAGAGCAGTTGCCCATTGAAACCCTGAAAATGTGTCTGTTGTATGGTGCACATAGTTTGATTTCCCAAATTCTGCAAAGTGACACACATCCATCTGACAAATTTCATTTCTATGTATTATACCTTTAGGGTTACTACTTGCTGGTAAAGGAGTTTGGTTATAGAAGGAACAAGTAGGACATTTTAAAAATATTTCCTTAGCTTGTTGTCAAGTGATGGAAAGATCCTTTTTTTGTTTGTTTGTTTGTTTGTTTGTTTTTGTTTTTTTGTTTTTGTTTTACAAGACAGGGTTTCTCTGTATTGTTTTAGAGGCTGTTGGACCAGCCTGGCCTCGAACTCACAGAGATCCACCTGCCTCTGCCTTCCAAGTGCTGGGATTATAGGCGTGTGCCACCACCGCCTGGCTGGAAAGATCCTTTTACATGTTTTTTTTTATGAAAATTCCAAGGCCTCCAGCATACTTCCTATTACTAATGGATTGATTTCATTATTGCCTTGTGCTAAAGGGCCTGGCAGACCCATATGGGACCTGATGTGGGTTATATGTATAGGATGAGTCCTATTCTTGATTATTTCTTGCAATTATATAAATAATGAAGTTAGTTCTGTATCATCAGGAACAAATTTAGCAATTTTAATGTGTAAGACTGTTGAGAGTCAGTAACTATATTGAGAGGTTCTGTAAAATCCGTTAAGTACCATGAGGATGGCGTACAATTCTGCCTTTTGTACAGAGTTATAAGGGCTTTGAATCCATATTATTTATGTTTCCTGATTTACATCCTGTCTTACCTGATTGTTTGCATCAGTGTAGAACATAGGGATTGTTGTTTTCCTACATTGCTATCTTTAAATTTCAGATTTCCCTTTTTGTTTATTGGCTGCTGATTATATTAAAAGAAAAAATTTCCACAGTTTCATCAGTCACATTTGTGATAATTTAGTCGCTTCAGATTCTAAGACATGCCTGTAAACTCTGATACTTGCTACATAGTTTCAAGGGAAGCCTGAACTACATCAGAGCTTGCCTAAATAAAACAATTCGGTAACAAAAAACCTTTAGTTTTTTTTAACTCTTCAGAAGATGAATTCACTCCAATACTTGGGAAACAGAAGTAGAGGAATCTTTGCTACATAGTTTTAAGGGAAGCCTGAACTACATCAGAGCCTGCCTTAAAAACAATTCGGTAACAGAAACCCTTTAGTTTTTTTTTTTAACTCTTCAGAAGATGAACTCTTATAGAATGTTACTTAAAAATGTGTTTCATTTGTTTATGTTGTGGAACATTTTTTAATGATGCAAAAGCATGTTGCATTCTTTCATGCTGCATTTGTTTGACTCCATGAAGCTGTGTTACTTTGCCTGTCTAAAACACTTGTTTAGTCTAATAAAGAGCTGAACCGCCAATAGCAAGGCAGGAGATAGGAAATGCCGGGCTGGTAGGTGGATGGAATAAGTGGGAGTAGAAATCTGGGAGGAAAAGATAAAGAATCAAAAGGAGAAGGAGAGGAGGACTCCAGGGGCAGGAAGGTACTAAAGATAAAGACAAAAGTCTGGAGGCAAAAGACAGATGGGATAATTTAAGTTAAGAAAAGCCGACTAGACATAAGCCAAGCCAAGGCTAGGCATTCATAATAAAGACTAAACCTCGGTGTGATTTATTTGAGAGCTGGCTGGGTGGGCCCTGAAAGACCAAAAGAGTAGAGTCAGAAGAATTAAAAAAAAAAAGCAACAACAAAGAATCTAGTTGCCAATGAAATCTGCCTCCCAGATATGTTAAGTATGTTCTAGGCATAATGTGTTTTTGGCAAACACTGTAGAAATGTACGTAAAATTCAAATGGGCTAAAAGTAAATGCCCATGTAGAAAAAAAAAAAGGTTTTTTTCCCCAGTGGCTCCAAATAAATCCTGAAGGATGATGGCCTTTAGAAGAAAAACAATAATCAAAGCAGTCAGAAGGCCTGTGACAGGAACTGAACCTTGGGTCATCTATGTCTATAGAAGAGATACATTCAATTTGGTCGAGTGCAGCCACAGCTGATGTGAAGGCCCTATTTAGATACACTCCAAAGGCAGAAATTGGTTTTCTTTAACTCTAGGCTTTACTGTAAAGGAAATGGAAAAGGAAAATTCCCTCCTCAGATCATTAAAACCAAAAGTTAAGTGTGGTGAGAGGTTCCAGGCTGGCCTTGAACTCAGAGATCTGGCCTGCACACCTGACCCCTTTCTCAGAGACTTCTTTAAAATTTTACTTTTATTTTAGCTGTATGGATGTGTTGAGTGCATGTTTGGTGCCTGAGGAGCCGAGGGTGTTGGGACCTGAGAACCAACCCCACTGCTATCCTCTGCAAGAGCAGCCAGTGCTCTTAACCAAGGAACCATTTCTTCAGCCTTTCCTTTCCTTCCCTTCCCTCCCCTTCCCTTCCATTTCCTCTCCTTTCCTTTCCTCTCCTTTCCCTTTTTTCCCCTTGGCTTTTCTTTTAGTTTTGCCTTGTCTTTCAGACAGGGGCCCAGGTAGCCCAAGCTGGACCTTGAACTCCTGGTCATCCTGCCTGTGCCTCCCTGCTCTTATGACAGAGATGAGCCGCCATACCAGCCAAGTATCTCTAATTTATTTTAGTCATTAAATGATTTCTTTGGCTACAGATCAGGTAGTGATTAAATTTTCCTAAAGAACATACAAATCCCTGACTGACAAATTTTACTGACTCTGCTGTAGGCAGACACTACTTGCTAAACCACCCACTAAACACATATTGAGGGAAAACATGGAAATACTAAAACAAGCTCTCAAACTCAGTTCTTACAAAGATTTTCAGCAGCTCTCAGATGGCCACCGCACTATGATATAGGTAAGACAGTAAGTAACTTGTTAGTTTTCCCTCAAATAAAAATGCCCAATAAGGTACTAATTATACATGGTTTCTAATTACCAAGATGCTGTACAGAAGAATTATACTTTTGCAATGCTGAGGAATGGCCAGGAATATTATGTTAGTCCTTCCTCCCTTCACCCTTTCTTCTTTCTCCTTTGAATAATCCCTGGGCAAGAACTGTGCCTCTGAGCTGCATCCTAAACCCCTAAGCACATTCTGTTATCTGTATACTGAGACATATTACAGATATTATAAATACTTAACATTTGTGTGCATTGTGTTGTGTCAAAGCCAGAGGTCATCATCTTTGTGTATGAAGATAGTATGCATGTATGTGTATGGATGTTCACAGGTATATATATGTGCATGGAGGTCAGAAGTTGGCACAAGGTATCTTTTTTGATCTCTTTCCACATTACTGAGTATCTCAGTCAGTGTCCTACTGCTCTGGAGAGACACTGTGAACACTGCAACTCTTAGAAAGGAAAGTATTTAATTGGGGCTGGCTTGCAGTTTCAGAGGTTTAGTCCATTATAAAGTGTAACATCCAGCCCATTAGGCACCAAGAGGAAGGCGAGAGACACTTATGGGTTCCAAAGATTTTATTAAATTACCACATAAGCAGGTCAGCAATTGATGGGGGCTGCAGGACAAGGACTCGGGAGCCTTGTTTCTCCTGACCGCCCCAAGTAGGGGCAGATCTGGGTGGGGTTTATAAGCACAAAAATCTCAAACATTTGCCTCCAAGTTACAGTTATAATTTTCACCCATCAGGACTTAGAGATTAGGGGCTTCCTTGAACGTTCCATCGTTGCCAATCAGTATAGAATGGGAGCCGTTTAGCCCAACCGATCAGATTCGTTTGTTCCTTCTGGTGTTAGGAACAGCCACAATGTTTCCAGGGTTCTAAAGACGAGTAAGACCGTTTCTATGGTTTTCGGAGGAGATTGGTCAGGTCAGCCATTGGAATTCTCAGCTCCCCTAGGGCTTGGCGCGCAGGCAGACATGGAGCTGGAGAAGCAGCTCAGAGTTGTACATCAGGATCCACAGGCAACAGGAAGAGAGAGAGAGAGAGAGAGAGAGAGAGAGAGGCCTGGCTGGGGCTTCAGAAACCCCAAATCCCACCCGCAGTGACACCTCTCCCACAAGGCCACACCTACTGCAACAAGGCCACACCCCCTACTCCCTTCAAACAGTGACTCTCCCTGAAGTTTAAGTACTCAAATCTGTGAGCCTATGGGGCCACTCTCATCAAAACCGCTGTGCTGGTGCAACATCTGAAGAACGCTGAGCTCATTGATTCCACTCCTGGTGGAGCTAAAGCTGTCTGGCCCCAGGGATCCCATTCCCACCCCCTGAGCACTAAGATCACAGGCAGGCCACCACAGTCCCCCAACTTTCGGAAGCATACACTCAAGAAATGTTCTTACGGCTGCCCTCGTGTAAAGCACATTAGTATCTATTACATTCCAAAACTTAGAAGGTACATGCTCATAATTTATACAAACACATTACAAACCATATAAATTACATGCTTAGAAAGTCAAGTATAAATTCTAAAAATGACCTTAAATATACATTCTCAAGATAAACTCCGAATTCAGGGTTTCGCATCTTGAAATTTGCCAAGTATTCTTGAAGGAGGAACAGAACCATGGGGGCAATTCTTAGTTGAGATTGCTGAAATTTCTTGAGACAATCACGGTTTATATTTTTTTGTGTGTGGTTTTCAGAAAGGTGCTTGCTGTTTTGTTCAGTGCTGTCTTGAACTTCTGGGCTGAAGTGATCCTCCCTCATTAGTCTCCCAAGTAGATAGCACAGCCTGCACACCTGGTGATTTAGATAACTTTGAAACCTGACGGTGACTGGCTGAGATTAGACAAACTGAGTAAACGTGAAAGACCGACTAATGTTTCTTGTGTCCACTTCAAAGTATAAAGACACTGAATTGTAAGAGAATATTGTTATCATCCTGGGGCGCCACTGGTGGCAGAGTACTTGCCTGACATGTGCAATGGGTTCTATCCTTAGTAACACACACACACACACACACACACACACACACACACACACACACACAGAGCCAGGCAGGGTGGCTCACGTCTGTATTCCCAGCATTTGGAAGGCAGAGGCAGGAGGATTACTGCAAACTGTGTACACTGGTGCAATATGGACTAGAGCTCTTCCTTAGAGAGGAAGGAAATGATTAGTTTTCTAGAATTTTCACTTAATCTAATTCTTTAAGAAACCAAATATTTTATTGATTTCATAATGTAGGAACAAGAGTGCTTTGGTCGACTGTATCTTCTCGAAGCTAGAAGGCATCAATTAAAGAGCACTGTACTTGGATGGTATCGTATAAAAGCAGAAGAGTAAGACATGATGGCTCATGCCTGTAATCTCAGCACTTGGAAGGCTGAAGCCCGGACTGGGGTACATAGTGAGTTCCAGGGCAGCCTGAGCTACACAAAGAAAGACCCTATCTTAAAAAAAAATAAGTAGTAACAAAATATCCTATGCAGAAGCTATCCAACACTATTCCCTTTTGAAGATAAAAACATCTGCTTACAGAATTTTAGTGTTGGTGTAATAATAAACTAGAGTAGAGTATTTGGGAGACTGATTATTCAGTGTTCTTGACTGAATTCTATACAGATAGAAACTTACTATAAGGACAAAAGGCTATTTGGCAAGTTGATCCCAAAGTACATAGGAAAATAGCCTGAGAGTTTAGGCTAGAAATATCAACAATCAAAACTGGAGGGTTTTTTTGTTTGTTTGTGCTAATTCTACTGGCCTGATAATATTAGAATAGAAATATTAATAACTTCAAAATGTCACCTGTCACTGTTGTCATTTTAACCAAAGCATTTGAGATGTGAAAACATCAGGGAATTAAGACTTTCAGACTGGAATGAATGGGAAAGGTTTGGATAATGGTTAAGAAAAAAAATCATCAATAATTTCAAACCAGTGGCTCCATGGAGTAAGCAATTCTTCGTGACGGAACCCAGAACTGGTCAGTGAGGCAGGCCTGCCGCAGTGACTGAGAGGAATGGAGGGACATACTGAGTCTTGAAGGGAGCCCCGGACTCCTTACTCCTCCGGGGGCCTGTCACCCGCCTCCTTCCTGCGGAAGAAGATGAACATGGACTCCACGGTGCCGTCGCCGCTCTGCTGTGAAAAGCACAGGAAGGTGGCCCAGAGGAAACCACACAGTCCCGTGTAAGCTGTTCTCCAGTGCACAGGGACAAGGCTGAAGTTGGTCAGCTGCAATGCAGAGAGAGTCTGCTAAGAACGGACAGGTCACAGGGTTTTTTGTTTTTATTCCACGGTGGGGACACAACTCGAGGCCCGGGACATGCTAGGCAAATGCTCTACCACGGAGCCCAGGCCCAGTCTCAGATCCTCTGTCGCTTGGCACTCACCTGCACAAAAGGCCAGTACATCAGTCCACTCTGGAATAAAGAAAACCCTCATTAGAATGCTGATAGTTACAAAGCAGAGACATGGTTCATTCTATAAGAGACTAAGAAGTGCCAGGCGCATGGGGTGCCCCTCCAGGAGCATGGGGTGCCCCGCCAGGAGCATGGGGTGCCCCGCCAGGCGCATGGGGTGCCCCGCCAGGAGCATGGGGTGCCCCGCCAGGAGCATGGGGTGCCCCGCCAGGCGCATGGGGTGCCCCGCCAGGAGCATGGGGTGCCCCGCCAGGAGCATGGGGTGCCCCTCCAGGAGCATGGGGTGCCCCGCCAGGCGCATGGGGTGCCCCGCCAGGAGCATGGGGTGCCCCTCCAGGAGCATGGGGTGCCCCGCCAGGAGCATGGGGTGCCCCTCCAGGAGCATGGGGTGCCCCTCCAGGAGCATGGGGTGCCCCGCCAGGAGCATGGGGTGCCCCTCCAGGAGCATGGGGTGCCCCGCCAGGAGCATGGGGTGCCCCGCCAGGCGCATGGGGTGCCCCGCCAGGAGCATGGGGTGCCCCTCCAGGAGCATGGGGTGCCCCGCCAGGAGCATGGGGTGCCCCGCCAGGAGCATGGGGTGCCCCTCCAGGAGCATGGGGTGCCCCGCCAGGACTGGTTGTATTCTGAGCTGATTAAATGAAGACTTGACGTCCTGAGAGTAGAGCAGGTAGAGACCTGTGGGTACAGCTTGTACATCAGTACACCTTTTGTTAGTTACAGTCATAAGTGCAAAATGAACAGTCAGGCAGAGATTCTGGAAGAAATGGGTACTGTAAAAATAATCACGTTTATATATTATAATTTCCGAGTATCAGCATATAATAAGTATGATATAATTTTTTAACCAGTGAATTCTTCAAAGTATATTCCAAACCCCCCCCAAAAAAACTAAATCAAAACAAAACAAAAAAACCATCTTTTTTTGAAATAGGGTCTCACTATGTGTCATTGGTTGGCCTGGAGTTTTGCCCACCAAGCTGGCTTAGAATTCAGAGATCCACCTGTCTCTGCCTTCCCACTGCTGGCACTAAAGGCCACCACCACACCCAACTAATCCAAACATCTCTTTATGGAACAACATGAAAATTATATATCCATACTATCTCTTGGTACAGACAAGATTAGCTGATGTTACAAATTTCTTCCTACATTTATTATGTGTGAGTGTGCATGTGTGTATGTGTGTGTGTGAGAGAGTGTTCTGTGTGAATGTGTGTGTCTGTGTGTATGCGTGTGTGAGAGTGTGTGAGTGTGTGTCTGTGTGAGTATGTGTGACTGTGTGTGTATGTGTGTGTGAGTGTGTGGTGTGTGTGGGCGTGTGTGTATGTGTGTCTGTATGTGTGAGTGTGTGAGCGTGTGTGTATGTGTTTATATGTGTGAGTGTGTGTGGTGTGTGTATGTGTGTGAGTGTGTGTATGTGTGTGTGGTGTATGTGTGCATGCACGTGTGTGTGAATGTATGTGCGTGTGTATGCATGTGTGTATATATATGCATGTATGTATGTATGCATGTGTGTAATTTGTATGTGTGTATGTATGCGTGTATGTGTGGTGTGTATGTGTGTGTATGCACGTGTGTGCATGTGCATCTATGTGTGTGTATGTCTGTGTGAGCGTGTGTGTATGTGTGTGTGAGTGTATGTGTGTGTATGTGCATGTATGTGTGTGTGTGTGTGAGTGTGTGTGGGTCAGAAGATACTTGCAGGAATCTTGGAGACTGAACTCAAGCCCCTTTATGCACTGAGCTATCTTGCCAACCTCTTAATTTTTAAAATCATTTTAAAAAAAATGTATTTGCTTTTGTAACTGGGTTTTGCTCTGTAGCTCACTTTGGCCTCAAACTCATGGCTGTCCTCCTGCCTCCTGAGTACTGGGTTATAAGTACAAGCCACCACACTTCAATGATTAATTTTTAAAACTGTATACATGAGCCAGGAGTGATGGTAAATCTTTAATCCTAGCACTTGGGAGGTAGTGTGTGTGTGTGTGTGTGTGTGTGTGTGTGTGTGGTCTAAGACAGGGGAAGCTACAGAGACATAGAAATCAGCTTGAAGGACCTCCCACTCCCACTGACCAAGTCTGGAATGTTTGAAAGCACCAAAGTTAATGAAACACAGTAACGAATTCTAAACCACTGGAAGAAAAAAAAAGACCCCCAGAGTACATGCCCCCAGTAAAGAATTGGCGGGGACAGAAGAGCAGGCCCTTGCTCACCGGACAGTGCTAAGTGACACTGGTAAACGCCAGTGCCAACACCCAGCACAGCAGGGCAGCCCGGGGGCAGGGTTAGAAATGGCTAAGGAGGCGGGGGCGTTGGTGGCGCACGCCTTTAATCCCAGCACTAGGGAGGCAGAGGCAGGTGGATCTCTGTGAGTTCGAGGCGGGGCTGGACCGATAGCCTCCAAAACAATACAGAGAAACCCTGTCTCGTAAAACCAAAAAAAAAAAAAAAAAAAAAGAGAGAGAGAAAGAGAAAGAAATGGCTAAGGAGTGGCGTGGGTGTCTAGCAAGCACAAGGCCCTGAGTTCTAGCCCAGCACTGTAGGAAAAAAGAGAAGGAGGAGGAAGGGGAGGGAAGGAAAGGAGAGGGGAGGGAAGAGAAGGGAAGGGGAGGGAGGGGAGGGAGGGAGGGGAGGGAGGGAAGAGAAGGGAAGGGGAGGGAAGAGAAGGGAAGGGGAGGGAAGAGAAGGGAAGGGGAGGGAAGAGAAGGGAAGGGGAGGGAAGGAAAGGGGAGGGGAGGGAGGGGAAGGGAAGAAAAGGGAAGGGGAGGGAGGGGAAGGGGAGGGAGGGGAGGAGGGAGAGAGCATGTGGGGAAAGAGGCACAGGCTGCTCCCGAGGTTGTGTGATCCCAGCTACTTGGGAGACTTAAGCAGGAGGACTGCCAGTTCCAAGTCTGCCTAGGCTACTTAGTGAGCCTCTGTTTTCAACAACTGAATGGTGAAAAGAGCTGGGCGTACTACGTGTGTCTAGCATGCTTGAGGCCCGAGGTCATTCTCTAGCACTGCCAAAAATAGGACACAGAGTATGGCTGGGTTGGTAGAGTGTTTGCCCAGCATTCACAAATCTCTGGGTTCAAATTCCAGCATAGAAGGTCATCCTCAGCCACATAAAGAGCTCAAGGACAGCCTTAATTACATAAGTCCTTGTTTCAACGACAACAACAACAGAGGTATCACCTGGGTAGGTAGGGCGTGATAGGTTACTAGGTTAACATGTGTGAGGACCTGGACCTGATCCCAGCCCTGAAAAGGGATGAAAATATAAGATGTGCCAAGATCCCCAGGACTCTGCACCCAAGGCAGTGCTAAGGGAGATGACCTATGACCTGACCTTCCAACCCTGCTTCCTGCTCCTTCTAACATTAGATGGACAACAGTGTGGTGGCCTAGAACCCTTATAATCGCAGCACTCAGGAGGCTGAGGCAGGAGGATTACTGTACATTTGGGGACCAGCCTTGAGGACAGGGTAGGTTTGGGCCAGCTTGGGCTACACAGTGAGACCATGTTTCAAAATGAAAAGACAGCAAATACATAAATTAATAAAAAATGCCATAAGTGTATATCTCTCTTGAATCTGATATAACGGGAAATGTCACTCACAATTGTAAAATATAGGACCAGGAAGTCACTTTCCAAAGTCTCTGTGGGGACACACTTTCTACCCCAAAAGAAGTAACAAGAATTCTGAACCCCATCCTTGCAGGAAATGTCTCTAGCCATAGGGATTCAGGGGGTTCTGTGGCTTCAAATGCCCCCTAAGCCTTCAGTCACCAAATGACTCAGAACCATCCAGCAGAAAATTCTAGAAACAGTGCAGGTGATAGCTCAACATGACTTTTGTGTGTTTTAAACTGAGAGTTCCCTTACCCTCTCCCACTAAACTTCTACTCTACCCTCAGCAGACAGGGAACTAAGTACATGGAAGATACTAGGGATATATTCTGGAGTCCTGAAAGTTTATCTATCTGATTGTTACTATTAATTGAATTAAACTAGTGCTGGATGAGAGCCTAGAAATGTCACTGACTTTGGCAGGCCTGAAGACAGTAAGTTCTCACTGAATGCATGAGTACTGTTTGTTCAACAGCAATGTGCACGCCTTGTACTGAATAGAGAGAGAACACAGCAGGAGGTTTGCTTCACTGGGAATCTTCTTGGGAAACAGTATCCTTTTCTAGAAACACCTTTGTGACACTGAGAAGGTCACAAAGACTCAACAAAACCCACGCCAGGATGTGCTGGCAGTGGGGGAGGGTTCCTTGCTGACCTACAGCCTGCAATCCCTGCTCTGCAAAAAGGTTTGGAAACCTAAAAAATAAATCCTGATTGCTAATAAGAATAAATCTAATGAAGTCAGAAATCATCGTGAACACCAGCCTGAATACAGTGATAGTGTTTTTTCCGCACCCCTGGGGCCTCCTTGAATTTATCTGCCCCAACATATTCGAGCTAGAAACATCTGGTGCACTGACCTACAGTCTCAGCTATTTGGGCTGCTTGAACCCAGAAATTGTATGCCAGTTCGGGCAACATCACAAGTCTGATTTAATCGTAGCTGTTTTAAGCCCATCCTAGTGGCATAAACCTGTAACCCCAGCTCCACCAGAGGCTGAGGGTCCCACGAGGAACAAACGTTCAAGGCCTGTCTGAACGACAGTGAACTGGACAGCACTCTGGTCAACTTAAAGAGACCATGAGCCAAGAAAGGAAGAAATGAGGGAGGGAGGGAGGGAGGGAGGGAGGGTGGGAGGGAGGGAGGGAGGGAAGGAGACAAGGCAAGAAAAAGAGGGAGGGAGGAAAGATAAAACAGGAAGAAAAGGAGGAAGGGAGGGAAAGGGGAAGAGGGGAAGGAGAGACTAAAAGAGAAGCCAGGAGGACTGGCAGGAGGGCTCAGTGGGGGAGGAGCTGTTGCTAAGTCTGACGACATGGGTTCAACCTTTGGAATCCACACAGTGGAAGGAGATCTCTCCCACAATTTGTCCTCTGACACCCACACTCCCAAACTCCATCGGTCCACTAAATCATGCCATCAATTCTTTAAAAAAACTAGGGAGCTCAGCATGATGGCACATGTCTATAATCTCAGCCCTTGGAAGGTGGAGGCAGGGTGATCAGGAATTCAAGGGCAATTAGGGTTTCACACAAGCCCATCTCAAAGCAACCAGACGAGGGGGCAGGCTTGGGACTCGGTGCCTGGCATTAGGCGTAGTGTAGGGGTGAGCCCCATAAGGGCAGAGATAAGGAAATAGCACAGGTGAAGATAAAAGGAAGTGAAAGAGAAACAACTCTATCTGCCTCTCCTTCTTCCTCTGGAGGCCAGACTCACTTCTGACCCTCCAGCCTTTTGAGTGCAAGTTCTTATTCTGGTAAAATAAATTTATTATATTCCCTATTGCATTGACCATCATCTTTAGCGTAGGTTCAATCTTCAGTGTGTGTGTGGGGGGGGGAAGAGTTGTATTAAAATGTTCCTTTTTAAAAATCACATTCAGTGTGTGTGTGTGTGTTTGTCTGTCTGTGTGCTCCCACATGAGAGCACTCATGCACATGTGCAGGCAGGCCATGGAAAGTGTGTGGAGTTCAGGGACAACTGTGAGAGTCAGCTCTCTCTCTCCTACCACCGTGGAAATCTCAGGGATCAAACTCAGGTCCCTTCGGCTGGGAAGCAAACTCCTTACCCACTGAGCCTTCTCAACAGCCCTGAAAGTAAGTGCTCTTTAATGTTTAAAATATTTTAAAAAGATATCATTACATTTTTCAAAAGTAAGTCTTACCTTGTATGTGTTCCAGAATTTCTGCTTCAGATCCAAAAATATGTCATCCTTTCCATGGAGAATGCTCATACCTATTTACCGAAACCCAACAGAAGGATTTTAGAAGCAGAATGGTTACTGTATAACAGTGTGTTCAAGTTTCTCATCCCAACAGCATCCAGGCACATCCAGTTCCAATAGTTCACGATGCTGCTGTTGATCCAACAGGAAAACAAGAGTATCTCTGCTTTAAAACTGAATGCTAAAGGAACACCAGGTAGGAAACGAGAAAAGCCATGTATAAAAGTTACAGCAGGGGCTGGAGAGATGGCTCAGAGGTTAAGAACACTGACTGATCTTTCAGAGGACCTGAGTTCAATTCCCAGCGAACCACATGGTGGCTCACAACCATCTGTAATGAGATCTGGCGCCCTCTTCTGGCAGGCAGACATATATGGAGGCAGGATGTTGTATTCATAATAAATAAATCTTTAAAAAGAAGTTACAGCAGAATGATTCTTTATCTGAATGAAGAACCCACAAAATGCAAGCATGGGATAATGAGCTTGCTGGTGACTTCCTGATTTTACGTTTATCTTACATTTATTTATTTACCATGTGTGTGTTTGCACTTGCACTGGCCAAATGTGGAGGAAGGGAACACCGAGCTGGGGTCAGTTCTCTCTCCACAGCGTGGGTTCCAACACTGCCAGGCTTAGCAGCAAGCGCTTGTACCAGCCCAGCCATCTTCCCATCCCCTCATTCATTTTTGCTTTTCTTTAAGTATTTTTAAAATGTTTTGGAGTTGTTTTGTGCATTCGGATGCTTTGCCCGTAAGTTTGAACACCACAGTGCAGTGGGCGGCTGTAAGATGCAATGTGGGAGCTGGAAATGGAGGCCTGGTCTTTTGCGAGTGTCCTTAACTGCTGAGCAGCCTCTCCAGCTCTTTCTTTCCCTCTCTATACAGCCCTGGCTGTCCTGGAGCTCCCTCTGTAGACCAGGCTGGCCTCAGACTCACAGAGATCCCCCTGCCTCTGCCTCCCGAGTGCTGGGATTAAAGGTGTGCGCCACTATGCCCAGTTTATTTGTTCTTTTGTGAGACAGGACTTCAAGTGCCACAGATTGGTCTCAAACTCCCTAGGAGGTAGGCAGAGATGGCTTGGTCCCCCTGCCTCTGCTCCTCAAGTGCTGGAACTACAGATGGGGGCGACCGTGCCCAGAAACGTGTTGCTGGGGGTGGAGCCAGGTGCTGAACAAGCAAAGTGAGTTGCACCCCAAGCCCCAACTTTGAAAAAAACAAAAACAAGAAATTAATCCTTTTCCCTTTTCTTGTCCTTCCTTTCTTTTGTTCTTTCTTTATTTGTGCTGGGATTAAACCCAGAGCCTCAAGCATGGCAAACCTACCCTCCACCACTGAGCTACACTGCCACATCCTCACCCTAACTCCGTTCCTTTAAAAACTAAAAACAAAAACTCCTGGGCCCTGGACATTCTAGCAACTACAAATTTCCCATCATTGTGTTCTAACCAGAGCTTAACGTTCAAGACATAGAGCCAAGACCTTACTTTTAAAGGAGAGTGTAGAAACAGCAGCACTTTGAAATTTTGTGACAGCCCTGATTGTGCAGGGGGGGGGGGAGGAGGTAAGAGTGTTATCAGCCAATTGCAGGGAGATTCTCCAAACAAAACCCAGCAAGTACTGTGGTGCTGGGATCGGCCCGCCCAGTCAACGCTAAGAGCTCACATCGCGGTATCATTTCACCCTCCTGATAATTAACCGAGATGAGGAGAGTTAAAAGGGGGACGAGACAACTAGCCATGGTGGCCCTGTGGAACTAACAACCAAGAGGCTGAGGCAGGAGGACTGCCACGAGTTCAGGGCGAGATTACAATACACAGCACGGTTCTGTCTAAAACTAAAGTGCTCAGGGAGCAGGTGCGCCACCGGAGTATCGGTTTTCAAGTAGCGCCAACTCCCACACCCGAGCTCCCCGTCACTGTAACATGAAGCAGGGGAGGCTGAGCCAAAAGCCTGAAAAGAAGACGGGGCAAAAATCCAGACTGGTGATCACCTACCAAAAGGCCTCGGGTCTTCATCCTAGGCATCATTCCCTAGTCTCAGAGTGGTCACACACACCATAACTCCCAGCATCAAGATGAGGGGCAGCCCGGGTTATGCTGTCTTCCAGTGAACTTCGTTTCCTCGTTCTATACCATGGGAATTTTGAGAGTATCCGCCTTACTATTGCGGTACTAGCAGTACCTTAGATTTGTGGTAGCTCAAGGATTAAACAGGAATCTAGTCTGTCAGGTCGCAGGCCCTGACCCCTTCCCCGCTGCACCAAGCCGTAGTTAATTTAAGTACAGGAATCCATTTGCAAAGCTGGCTGGGAGACCACCCCAGAGGACAAAACACTGCGCTTGGGCAAATCAGAAGGCTCTAGCTCTCCGCTCATCTGTCCCGACCTCACTGAGCGTCATCTTAGCGTGGCGTTAGCTGACTGAGACTGTAAGAGGTCACCAGGTCTTTGATTGTTTCCCGTGGGCTACAGAAGAAAAGGAAGCGAATACATTCCCTCTAAAGTACTTCCCACAGGAGGGGGCGTTTCTCTTAGCCGGGCTCGCTTACTCTCAGCCAGTTTCGAGAGACATTAATAGGCCGGGTGGGTCAGACTTGTCATCCCAACAGTTTGGGGGACGGACGTGGGAGAATCACAAGTTCAAGGCCAGCCTGAGACACTTAGTGAGTTCCTGTCTCAGAAGTAAAACCGAGCTGAACACCGGGGATTCAGTTGACAGTTGACAGAGCTTTAGACTCAGTTGTCAGTGATCTCCCACCTCCCAGAGCCAAGGGCAGGTCCAGTCCCTGGAGAAAACTCTCCAGATACGGAGTGGCATTCCCCAGATGCCACTGCCTTCGAGGGTAGCGGAATCGGTAAGGAGAGAAACCGTGAGATCTTTTGTTGTTTTTTCAGAAGACCAGGCAGAAAGGCTTTCCAAGGCCAGGCCATCCAGCCCAGCGTGAAGAGAGCTCCTTCGCAGGTACGCAAGCCCCTTCCGCTCTCTGCGTGACCCCCAGCCCCACCCCAAGCAAGACTAAGGCCCTGGAGGAGACTTTCTATAATCGCAGGCTCCACTCATTCTGTCCCCAGAGTGCCCTCATTTTTGGTTGAGGAAGTTGGCTGCAGAGCCTCAGGTGTGGCTGTTTGCAGAATAGGTGGAGCTCAGGGATGCAGCTTCTAGGCGCCTCAGCCAGGGTCTCTTGCATGCGCCCTTTTCTGAAGGAAAGGAGAGGCCAACCCTCTACCCTGAACACCGCCAACTTTAACCTCTCAGCTCTGACACCAACCCCTTAAATCCCTGGCACGCTGAATCTCCAGTTCCCCGGCCAGCAGCCCCCCCAAACTCTTCCTCTCGGAAACCTAAAGTCCCCCAGCGTCCAGACCTCCTGTCAAGGCTTCAAGGCTTCCTTCCAGCCCTGGCTCTCTGGCCGCAGAGCTGTCACCTCCCAGCCTCAACCCCAGTAGCTTCAGATCTCCGGTCTCTGCGCCCTCCCCCCAGTTCTCCCGGGCCACCCCCTTGCCCAGCCCCCAAGGCTCCTTGCCCGGGCCTCCGGGGCTCCACTCCCAGCCTCTGCGCCCCGGCCCGGCCCCTCACCGACGTAGAAGGCGGAGAGGGCAATCGGCCCACCGACCGTCTGATCGCACAGCACCTTGGCCAGGACCGTGCGCGGCGCGCGGCCGGGCAGCGCGCGCTCCAGCAGGCGCAGCCACGCGTAGTTGAAGTTGCCGTGGAAGGTCACGGCGAGCGTGGCCACGCGCCGCGTCTGGCGCCAGTCGGCCGGGCCTCCCCGCAGCCGCTGCTGCAGCGCGTCGCCCGCCGAGAAGAGCCCGGCGTAGAGCAGCACGTTGGTGGGCCACGGGTAGCGCCGCGCCGCGCGTGGGAGCGCGCGCCACCAGCTCGCCATGCCCGCCGCGAGGGTCGCCGTCCGCGCCTGCACACCTGACTGAGCCGCAGGCGCCCAAACCATTGGACACCGCTGAGCACACCCAACCCGCACGCCCAATCCCGTGACGGCTGGCGGGGAGGGCGGAGCCTCTGGGATGTGCGGAGTCCACCCGGTTTGGACCATTTTCAAGAAATCTGCAGGAGGAGGAGAGGTCCTCGGAAAGATAGCAGATCTGTCGTTCCTAAAGGCCGGGCTGTCACCGGGGCCAGTGAAGATAACCTCACGGCTTTGTGAATATGCCAAAAAACAGTGGCCCCTACACTTAAGAGCAGGATTTGTTTGTTTGTTTGTTTGTTTGTCTCCTGTGTTTCAGGCTGGGCCCCAACCCCATGTGTAGCTGAGGATGACTTTGAACTCCTGCGGCTTCCACCTCCCAGATTCTGGGATTACAGGTTTTGTGCCAGGGAGTCCAACTTAAAGTGGTAAATTCTGTGATCCGTGAATCCTATTTCTGGAAGGCGACGTGAAGCTCTGTAGCAGTGATTACCTAGCATGCCGAAGGTCCCATCTCTAATTCCCCACTACTGCAATAAACATGAGGGAAGACACTAGCTCAGCTACCAAAGCGGCACGTACTCGAGATGCTTGCAAGCGGAGACTCCATCTTTCTACCAGACAATCCGTTGCTTTCTGTGTCACTATGGGCCAGAGGTCAGGCTGAGGTCTTTCATGAATGAAATAGCACTGGATGATGTGACGATTACTCTCCCCACTTCAGCCTGTGTCTCAGTGACCCCTGTCACCCCAAAACAGGCTTGGACAACCGTGGTACCCGTTCCAAAAGCAAGGCTGGGTGGGCGTCTGGGCAACAGATAGAAAGTCTGGCTTTGTGCACCTCATTCCCCGCCCCCGCCTTTTCCTGCCTTTCCCCCCTTCCACGGTTTTCAACCTCTCTCATCCAGTATCTCTCCTCTCTGTCTTCTGTTTGTTCACCGTATTCAATTTTCCCTCTCTTCAAAAAAAAATCGGGCTGATGAGGCGACTCAGAGCTTGAGAGCACTGGCTGGTCTTCCAGAGGTCCTGAGTTCAATTCCCAGCACCCACATGGTAGCTCACAACCATCTGTAGTGAGATCTGGTGCCCTCTTCTGGCCTGCAGTGATACATGCAGGCGGGACACTGTACACATAATAAATGAATACATCTTTGAACTTTGGGTGCCCACCCCACAATGAGGGATGCTCTCTCAGCCTGGACTCTTGGGGGAGGGCCTAGGCCCTGCCCTGGATGAAATGGCAGACTCTGGAGATCCCCCATGGAGGGCCTCACCCACCCTGGGGAACAGAGTGGGGGTTGGGTGGGGGGTGGGGGAGCTGGGGGGTGCGGGGGAGGAGGGGAGGAGGGAGGGAGCTGGGATTGGCATGTGAAGTAAGCTTGTTTCTAATTTAAATAAAAAACTAGTACCTTATTTCCTTATATTTATGTTTTATGATTTATTTTTATGCTACGTGTACGTGTGTTTTGTCTACATATCTCTATCATGCCAGGTGCCCACAGAGTTACACACCATCCTTAGCTGCCATGCGGTGCTGGGAATCAAACCTGGGTCCTGGAGGGGTGGAGGTCAGTTCTCCTCTCCCACTTCGTACGTCCTAGGGATTGCGTTGTCAGTCAGTCAGGCTTGGAGACGAGAGCCTTAATCTACTAAGCCCTCCCGCCAACTCAGGGTTTTCGTTTTGAAATAGTTGCAGACTTAGGAAAAACGTAGCAGAATTATAAAAGGAAAATGAATGTGATGGCCCGTCATCCCTGCACCGGGAGAGAGAGCTGCTGAGGCAGACTGCCCAGAGCTTAGGGCCACCCTGGCCTGTATAATAAGACCCCGTCTGGAAACAAAAGCAAGAAAACACACAAAAGATGCAAAGACGTCTCATGTACTCTGGTTCATTTGTTTTGTTTTGTTTGAGCCCAGAGCTCACGTAGCCCAGCCCAGCCTCAACTTCCTAATCCTCCTGCTTCTGCCTCCTCAGAACTAAGGTTACAGGCTTGTGTCACTATACACTCTTTACTCAATCCTCCAAGTGTTGACATCTTGCATAACCATGTACAATGATCAAAACAAGGAAATACGATCTGATGGAATAGAGTTACCCAGTCACATGCCAATCTTACTTAAGCTGCTGCCAGAAAGTCCCTTTCTCATCCATCAACCAATCCCGAGCTGCTGTACTGTTGTTTCCCTTTGGTCTCCAATCTGAACCATAGACCAGTTCTCTCAAAGGTTGTCCCTAACTGTAAGTCACTTTTTATAAGCTGAGTTGTCTCCTACCCTGGTTTATGCTTTGAAGCCCTAACTCTTGGTACTTCAGAACGTGACTGTATTTGGAGACAAAGACCTTCAAGAAGCCACCCAGTTAAAATGAGGCCACGAGGCAGGCAATGAAATCTGTACTGTGTCTTCAAAAGAGGGATGGACTCAGCGAGAGACACCATGGTGGATTCTCACAGAAGAAAAGCTATAGGCGAGGACTTGATAACAAGGAGGCTGACTGATGGGAGGTGGTGGTGCATGCCTTTAGTCCCAGCACTCAGGAGGCAGAGACAGGTGAGTTTGAGGCCAGTTTGGCCTACTGAGCGGGTTTTTTTTTTCCGAGGCAGGGTTTCTCTGTAGCTTTGGAGGCTGTGCTGGAACTCGCTCTTGTAGACCAGGCTGGCCTTAAACTCACAGAGATCCGCCTGCCTCTGCCTCCCGAGTGCTGGGATTAAAGGCATGCGCCACCAACGCCCGGCTTACTGAGTGAGTTCTAGGATAGTGCAAAGCTATAGAGAACCCTGTCTTGAAAAACAAAAACAAAAAAAGAAGATGGCTAGAGATTTGGATTGGTTGTGCTGTCCTTGCTTATATTCCTAGCACTTGAGAGGGGGAGGCATAAGGGTCAAGAGTTCAAGATTAGTACCAACTACACAGTGAGTGAGTTAGAGGCTAGCCTGTGCTACACAGACTACGACTTTAGTAGCAAGAGGGCTCAGAGGTAGAGGAACTTTACTTCCATCTCCAGAACACACATGGTGGAAGGAGGAATCTGATTCTACAAACTGTCCTACGACCTTCCCACACGCCATGCCTTGCACACTCACACACACACACATACACACATACACACACAGAAAGAAAGGCACAGACAGAGAGCTTGGGGAGGAAAACCAGTAAAGGAAGGAGGAAACAGGGAGAGCAATACTGGAAGGAAAGGGAGACACTGGTTGTCTGTATCTACAAGCCAGAGAAAAAAGTCAGAATACAGCTAGGCATGACCCTGGCCTTCTAGCTTCCTGAACTGTAGGAAACATATGTTTCTGTTGAACCTAGTCTTCAGTATTATTGCACACAAAGGAATTCATCCTTGCTCTAGTCCCCGGGACTCTGCTAGTGTCCGTGTGTTTTGAGTTTCCACACTGCCCACAGAACCGTTTCTAGGGCTCTCATTGTTCCGCCACCGGTCCCAAGAGAATCTGCCAGATTTTCCCCACCTAGGCAAGCTTCTAGCTCAGCAACATATCTGTTTATTACTTATTCCAATTATAGTTTCTATTGTGTGATGAAACACCAAGACCAAAAGGCAAGTTGGGGAATTTTTTAGTTTGGGTTTCTGTTGAAGTAAAGAGAAACCACCACCACTGCAGCAACTCTTTTTTGTTTTGTTTTGTTTTAATTTTTATTTTTAAATTTAAATTTAAATTAGAAACAAGGTTGCTTCACATGTCAATCTCAGGTCCCTCTCCCTTTCCCTCCCCTCCTCCCATGCCCTCCCACCAACCCCCCCAATATTCTTTCCCCTGGGAGGGTGAGGCCCTCCATGGGGGTGTCCATAGTCTGTCATTTCATATAGGGCAGGGCCTAGACCCTCCCCTAAGAGTCCAGGGTGAGAGTGCACCTCACATTGTTGGATGGGAGTCCAAAGTTCATTTGTATGCCCGGGATAAATACTGATCTACTACCCAAGGCTCAATAGATTACCTAGGCCTCCTCACTGACACCCCCATTCAGGGGGTCTTGTTCAGTCCCATGCTGGATTCCCAGGCATCAGTCTGGGATTCAAGAGTTAACCCTTGTCAGGTCAGCTGTTTCTGGGGGGTTAAACCAGCCCAGTCTTAACCTCTTTGGTCATCTGTCCTCCCTCTCTGTTATTGGCTTTCTTGAGTTCAGCTCAGTGCTTAGCCGTGGGAGTCTGCCTCTTCTTCCATCAGCCTGGGATTCAAGAGTTAACCCTTGTCAGGTCAGCTGTTTCTTGGGGTTAAACCAGCCCAGTCTTAATCCCTTTGGTCATCAGTCCTCCCTCTCTGTCACTGGATTCCTTGAGTTCTGTTTAGTGCTTAGCCGTGGGAGTCTGCCTCTGTTTCCATCAGCCACTGAATGAAGTTTCTGTTTCCCAGACTCTCCGGCCGTGGGATTGTAGGCTGGCACTCCCCAGATCTATGTCTAAAATCCATATATGAGAGAGTACATGCCATGTTTCTCTTTCTGTGACTGCGTTACCTCATTCAGGATGGTTTCTTCTAGTGTCATCCATTTGCCTGCAAATTTCAAGATTCCATTTTTTTTTTCTGCTGAGTACTACTCCATTGTGTAAATGTCCCACATTTTCTCTACCCACTCTTCGGTTGAGGGGCATCTAGGTTGCTTCCAAGTTCTGGCTATTACAAATACTCACAGCAACTCTTTTAAAGGAAAACACTTCATTGGGGCTGGCTTGCAGTTTCAGAGGTTTCGTCCCATGTGGTCATGGCGGGAAGCAGACACGGTGCGGGAGAAGGAGCTGAGAGTTCCGCATCTTGACCCACAGGCAGCAGAGGAGACTCTGTAGGCCACACAGAGCACAGCTTGAGCATATGAGACCTCAACGCCTGTCCCCACAGTGACACACTTCCTCCAACAGGGCCACGCCTCCTAACAGTGGCACTCCCTATGAGCCAAGCATTCCAACACTTGAGTCTATGGGGGGCCATACCCATTCTAACCAGAACATTCCATTCTGTGGCCCCCATAGATGTGTAGCTAGAACATAATGCAAGATGCATTTAGTCCAATTTCTGAAGTCCCCACAGTCTCAACAATGTTTGAAAGTTCAGTGTCTTCTGAGATTCATACAATCTCTTAACTGTAATCTATAAAATCAAATCGAAAGTCAGATCACATACTCCCAACATATAATGATACAGGATATACCTTACCACTCCAAAATGGAGGAAAATGAGGCATAATGGAGCATAATGAAGAAATAAATGGACCAAATCAAGACTGAAAACCAGCTGGGCAAACTCCAAACTCTGCATTTCCATTTCTGACGTCAAAACCCTCTTCAGATCTCCAACTCCTTTCAGCTTTGTTGACTGAAACATACTTCTTTCTCTTGGTTGGGTCCATTCCCTGTTAGGAGCTCTCCTGGCATCTCCAGCATCTCAGGGTCTCCATGGCAACACAGGGTTCAGCTTCAACTTCACAGCTTCACACAGTGGCCTCTCCAGGCCTTCACACAGGGACACCCCTGACACATGCCTGGTCTCAGCGGCTTTCCTTAGTCGCAGAGGGGGATTCTATAATCTCTTTTTTTTCTATCCTTGACTCTAAAACCAGAACCACACGGCTGAAGTTTCCAAGTTCTGCTGCTTGCTGGGGCTGGAGCATGCTCTCGTCCAATTACATCTTCATTAGCCTCCTGTTTTCAATGGTTTCCTTCACTGCCTAAGCTTAGCTGGCCTTGAACTCAGATATCCTCCTGTCTCTGTCTCCTGAGCGTAGGGATTAAAGTTGTGTACAACATGCCTGGACCCAAGCTTTCCTTCAATTCCTTTTCACAAGTTGGCAGTTTTGCTGGGTGGGGTCTTGCCGAAGGTCACCACTCCCTTTATTCCATTTAACATCAGGATTTTCTTTAATCTGTCCATCTCCTTGAACATAACACTTAGCTCCATTCCATTTCCTGGTGTCTCTTTTCTCCTTAAGTTGTACATTTTGTAACTTTTCTTTTACTCTCTATAAACTTTTCAGTTTACTCCTATTCACTATAGATCTTCATAAGAAGAAATACTAATAGCAATATAACAGAACCTATACTAGGCTGTTTTGAAATTTCCTCTGCTAGTGGAATTAATCCAAATCTCTTCCTTTTAGTCTCAGGTAGACTTTTTTGAACAAGGGCAAAAAGCAGGCACACTCTTCACCAAAATATCACAAGAAAGATCTCTAGGAGACATACTAACATTCTCCTCTGAAACCTCTTGAGGCAGACCCCACAGTCCAAAACTCCCTCAGCAACACTCTCTTCCATGTTCCTACAAGTATGGCTCATTAAACCCACTTAAAGTATTCAGCTGCTTTTCTAATCCAACATCCCAAAGTCTGCATTCCTCCACACAAAAACATGGTCAGGCTTATCATAGAAATACCAACTTCTGTCTTTTTTTTTTTTTTTTTGGTTTTACGAGACAGGGTTTCTCTGTTTTGGAGGCTGTCGGTCCAGCCTAGCCTCGAACTCACAGAGATCCGCCTGCCTCTGCCTCCCGAGTGCTGGGATAAAAGGCGTGCACCACCAACCAACGCCCGCCAACTTCTGTCTTAGTTTGGTTTTTTTATTGCTGTGAAGAGACATCATGACCACAGAAACTCTTTTTTTTTTTTTTTTCTCGAGACAGGTTTTCTCTGTATTGTTTTGGAGGCTGTCCCAGAACTCACTCTATAGACCAGGCTAGCCTCAAACTCACGGATATCTACTGAGTACTGGGATTAAATGCATGCACTAGTCAGTGGCCGAGCAAGAGGCCCTGAAACTGGAAAAGAGAGATAGTGTCAGTAGCCAAGAGAGAGGCCCAGAAGCAGGGACAGAGAGTGTGCCAACCACCAAGTGAGCAGCTCGTAAACCAGGAGAGAGGGTGTGTGTCAGAGGCCTAGTGGGAGGCCCGGAACCACTGACAGCAGTGGTTTCCAGAAACTATCTTAAGAAGTACTCCTGGGCCAGCTGTGGGTGGTACACACCTTACCCACCTGCACCTAGAGGAGTGATCACTGGAGTCAGGGCACAGCCAGCACCTAGAGGAGAGACCATCGGAGCCTTGGCACCACCTACACCAAGAGGAGAGACCATCGGAGCCTTGGCACCACCTACATCTGGAGGAGCAATCACTGGAGGCTCAGCCCTGCTTGCACTTGAAGGAGCTTTCAAAGGAGCCCCTGAAGCACAGGCTCCGCCTGTGTGGATTGGGGGGGGGGATGTGTAGACAACAGGTAAGAATACACTCAACAACACAAGAGCAATACAGCACCACCAGGCACTAGGGGTTCCACAACAACAAGACCTGAACATCCCAACATAGATGAAACAGAAGAAAACAACCTTAAAAATAACTTTATGAAGATGTTTGAGGCCCTTAAAGGGGAAATGAAAAAATCCCCTTGAAGAAACGGAGGAAAAGACAAACAAAAACTGGGAAGAGACCAGCAAATCCTTTAAAGAACGCCAAGAAAAAGCAATCAAACAGGTGAAGGAAACGGTTCAAGACTTGAACACTGAAATAGAGGCAGTAAAAAAAGCACAAACTGAGGGAATTCTGGAAATGGAAAATCTGGGTAAATGATCAGGAACTACAGATGCAAGCATGAACAACAGAATACAAAAGGTGGAAGACAGAATCTTGGGCGTTGAAGATATGACAGAGAAAGTAGACTCATTGGTCAAAAAAAAAGTTAAATCCAACAAATTCTTAACACAAAATATCCAGGAAATTTGGGACACCACCAAAAGACCAAACCTAAGAATAATTGGGATAGAAGACGGAGAAGTCCATCCCAAAGGCACAGAAAATATATTCAACAAAAAAAGCATGAAGAAAACTTTCCCAACCTAAATAAAAACATACCTGTGAAAGTACAAAAAGCTTACAGACCAACAAATAGACTGGACCAAAAAAAAAGTTCCCTTGCCACATAATAATCAAAACACTAAACATACAGAATAAAGACAGAACATTAAGATCTGCACAGGGAAAATGGTCAAGAAGCATATAAAGGCAGGCCTATCAAATTACATGCAAGTTCTCAATGGAAAAAATGAAAGCAAGAAGATCCTTGTCAGGCATGAATGCTAGCCCAGACCACTATAGACAGCAAAGTTTTAAATCACCTTAGATTGAGTAAACAAGATATTCCATGACAAAATCAGATTTAAACAATACCTATCCACAAATCCAGCCTTACAGAAAGTACTAAAAGAAAACTCCAATTCAGGGAAATTTGCTATACCCACAAAAGCACAGGCGATAGATAATCTCACACCAGCAAATCCCTAAGAAGGGGAGCACACCGGCAATACTGCTATCAACAACAAAAACAAAAATAACAGGAACTAGAAGCCACTGATCATTATTATTTTTTAAAAGATTTATTTATTTATTATGTATACAGTGTTCTGGCATGCATGCCAGAAGAGGGTATGAGATCTCATTGTAGGTGGTTATGAACCACCATGTGGTTGCTGAGAATTGAACTCAGGACCTCTGGAAGACCAGTCAGTGCTCTTAACCTCTGAGCCATCTCTCCAGCCCGCCATTGGTCATTATTATCCCTCAATATCAGTGACTCGATTCCCCTATAAAAAGACACAGGCTAGCTGGGCATTGGTGGCGCACGCCTTTAATCCCAGCACTCGGGAGGCAGAGGCAGGCGGATCTCTGTGAGTTCGAGGCCAGCCTGGTCTACAAAGTGAGTTCCAGGACAGCCTCCAAAGCTACAGAGAAACCCTGTCTCGAAAAACCAAAAAAAAAAAAAAGACACAGGCTAACAGATTGGATATGAAAATAGAATCCATCCTTCTGCTGCATACAAGAAACATGCCTAGAAAAAAAAAAAAAGAAATATGCCTCAATGTCAAAGACAGAAGTTACCTCAGAGCAAAGGGTTGGGAATTTTCCCAATCAAATGGACATGAGAAACAAGCTGGTATAGCTATCCTAATGCCTAACGAAATAGACTTCAAACTAAAATTAGTCAAAACAAATGGAAAAGGTCATTTTGTATTCATCACAGGAAAAATCTACGAAGATGAAGTCTCAGTTCTGGACATCTATGCCCCCAAATACAAGGGCACCCTCAATTGTAAAAGAAACATTGCTAAAGCTTAAATCACACATCAAGCCCCACACACTAATAGTGGGCGATTTCAACACCCCACTCTCACCACTGCACAGGTCTCCCAGAGAGAAACTTAACAGAGAATAAGGGAACTAACAGATGTTATGACTCAAACGAGCCTAACAGACACCAAAACATGAAAGAATATACCTTCTTCTCAGCACCCCACAGAACCTTCTCTAAAATTGGCCACATACTCAGTAACAAAGCAAACATCAACAAATACAAAAAATTGGAATAAACCCATGTATCTTATAGGCCTTCTGTGGCTTAAAGTTAGAATTCAACAACACGAACTGCAGAAACCGCATAAACTCATGGAAATAAAACAATGCTTACCTGAATCACCCAGTGGGCCAGCTCTCCTCTCCCCAAACTTCAGGTCTTAGAAAGGGACGTGGGGACTGCCACGTGGAAGAGGCACCGGTTGTCAGAGAAAAGTGAGGTTGTCAAGTTAACTTTAAATATCAAATAGTTTTTTGTCATAAAAGAAATATTGTGCATATTTACACTAAAGGTCTCTTTGTCCAAAGTGTAACATTAGCTGGATACACTGTATTTTTATCTCTTTTGGTAAATCTGGCAAACCATAGAGGAATGGGATGAATGTTTGTTGGGAATCGCTAACGTGTGGGCCAGTTTCCTGCACTGATTCATCACTGGCCATAGATACTCAGCAAATTCAGGGATTGGTAACGACCTGGAAAGACAGACATCTGCCAACACCTGGGTGCTCTTTATCATGCAGGTCAACCGGATCGACTTGATGGGAGTTGAAAGAAAGGGAAATGAATACTCAGATGTCTCTGGTGGACATGCCTATGTCACTGTATGTTTGCCTCTGCTTAAAAGCCATTAAAACATTCTGGGGGCTGGAGAGACGGGTCAGTGGTTAAGAGCACCGGCTGTCCTTCCAGAGGTCCTGAGTTCAATCCCCGGCAACCACATGGTGGCTCACAACCACCTTGAATGAGATCTGGTGCCTTCCGCTGGCCTGCAGACAGAAGACTGTATACACAACAAATACATAAAATATTTTTAAAAGCCATTAAGAAATTCAGTAGTGACAATTTATCAATCAAATAAATGTTAGAAGACCCATATTACTTTCAAATTAAAGATGTTTCAAGATCAATGACTTCATTACATGGTGTTCTATAATCTGTGCTTTCGGAGCCCTCTGGCAGTAATAAAGGGACACATTCATCTGCCATTAAGTTCCATTGAGGGTAGAGGATGGTTGGGACCCCAGAGACCCAGTGAAATGTAAAAGGGGAGTTTCTTAGGAACTCTCTCCGTGAGAAGTAAGCACTGATGTGGGAACAGAACTTCTATTTACAACCTTGGATAACATTAAAAAAGCATTTAGATGATTACAATGATGCTGTTATTACTTCATTTTGTATAAATGAATTAGAGTTTAAGAAAACCACCCACTGGGCCACAGTGTCTAAGACATAACCTCTTTTGTTAATCTCGACAATAGAAAGACTGTTATGCCCAGAAGTCATTGAGACCAAAGGTCACCCCTCAAGAGAGCTGAATGATCTCTCCAGCTCCACTTGTAGCCATGACATAAGTCCCAAAGCCAAGCAGTACAGACACCTCTGACCCAGGAGCTACACCCCTGCAAAACACTCCTGCTGGCCTTGCTATAGACAAGCCTCTGATGTGGGCCCAGCTGGCAATGGCTGCCGAAGTTGCTTTAAGAACGTAGAGGCCACCTTTGTCCATGTCAAACTAACGGAAACCACCACACCTTTGCTTGGGCCTCAAGTGTGTCCTAAGAGTGACTCTTTGTGAAAACAGACCAGGGAGGGAGGAAGACAGAAGGAATGTTAGTATATGTCAGAGGGAAACACTGGGAACCCTGACCAAGGGCCACATGGAAGGGACAGAGGCTGACAAGATTTCCCAGTGGGTAAAGACGCTTGCCACCCAGGTGGGGCACATATGACGAGCTTCCACACTGGCACCCGTAACCCCCTACCAAAATAGATTAATAAATGTTTTCTTAAAGGAGAAATCCCAGAGTACAAACAAGGAAAGGCAGGTGCTATACAAATGATCTGCAGAGAATCATGGTCATCCTGGTCCAGCGTCTGTCACCGAGCCTCGGGCCTTTCCAACCTTGGTCTATTTCCCACTCTCGAAATTGCTTCTCTCACGAGTGGATGACATCGGCCCGACTCTCTGTTCAGGGACACCAGTGCCTGGCAATCCAAGGTGGTACCTTTGAACCCCAATCCATACTTATAACACACCAAGTACCATCAAATGCCATCAGAACATGACAAGGGCACTGATGGCGAAGTCCTGTGTATATGTCAATAAAGCACTGTCGGCCAATAGGGAAGCACGATAGGTGGGACTAGGAGTCGAGGAGGATTCTGGGAAAGAGAGACACAGGCAGTCATGATGTAGTCACCATAGGAATAAGAGGTCTGGACCCTTTTCTACGGTAAGAGAGATACTTAGATTAGCAATTATGGGGTAAATACTTAAGTCAGAGCTAGCCAGTAAGAAACCAAGCAAACGGCCAACAGCTTTATAATTAATATAGCCTCCTGTGTGTTCATTTGGGACTGATGCGGCTCTGGAACCAGGCTGGTGGGAAGGCTGCACTCTACAGGATGCCATTTTCCTCTGCCTCTTGTGTGTCCTTGTTTGTTACATGTGTGCAGGTGTGAGGACAAGCTTGCCTATTGGCTGGTCTGAAATTTTCTATGTAGGCCAGGCTGGCCTGGAACTCAGGACATCTTGCCTTTGCCTCCTGATGGTTGGGAATAAAGGTTTGTACCACCATGCCTAGCTTCCACCTTGTTTTTTTAGAAAAGCTCTCCTATGAAACCTGGAGGCTATGACCAGCTAGATAGATGGCAGGTCAGCTAGCTGCTGGGATCACTCTGTCTTCCCCCACACATACCTCCAGTGCTGGGGTGTGTGCTGCCTGACACTGATTTTACCTGTTGGGACTCACAGCCCAGATCCTCATGCTCTCTGAACATAAATCATGGAGAGCCAGCCAGGTCGACCACATATGTAGAGACCACAGACCCTCCACTCTTCCCTGCCTCCAGTCACCCTTCTCCACTTCCGCTGCCCTGCATCTGTGCCCTGTGTGTATTGATGAACACTTATATCTGAGTCTGTGGCCTTCTAACATTGGGCTACCTTGTGAATCAAGTGTTCTTTTCACCCGGCAGGCACGGATCCTAGAGCTTCAAGCCTCCTAGGTGCATGCTCAGGCTCTGGGCTGTACACTTTCTGCAGAACTTGTAGGTTCAGCTGGACATGCCACACTGTGAGCAGGGCAGGCTGGATTTGATGAGCCGTTGCTCTGAGGTTCCAAGGCGGGATAGAAAGGTGGAAAGTTAGGAGGCGTAGGAAGTAGGAAGGAAAGGAAGCCCCTCAGCCCCTGGTCTAGTGTACCCTTCCTGGGAGTCAAGAGGCTTCATCACTGATTAAGCCAAAACTGCCTTCAGACAAGATGTGTTCTCCTGAAGACATCTTCCAGAGGACCTGGGTTCAATTCTCAGCACCCATACGGCAGCTCACAACTGTCTGTAACTCCAGTTCCAGGGGATCTGACACCTTCACACCAATGCACATAAATGAAATTTAAATAAATTATTAAAAATTCATCTTGTTACCAGAAGCTTGCTCTCTGCTCTCTTCTCTTCCCTGGTCCTGGTGACCACCATCATGTGAATTCAGCCGAGGTACATAGTATAGAAGACAAAGTTTATGAGAGTTTAACATGAGACACCCTCAAGTGTTATAGGATTTCCTGCCTGATTTCACAGCTTCCATGCCCCAAATGAACACACAGACGCTATATTGTAATTATATATTAATTATGAGACTGTTGGCCAATGGGTTGGGCTTCTTATTGGCAGCTCTGTCTTAATTATTAACCCATAACCACCACTATCTATGTATTTCCACATGGTCTCGGCTTACCAGAGAATGCCAGGCCTACAACTCCTTTGGCTGCTACGTTGTGACTCGTCTGGCTGGCTCTCCTGCCTGCCTTTCCCAGACTTCTCCTCCTCTCCTAGTCCTGCCTATCTTCCTGCCTCATTGGCCATTGGCCCAATAGTGTTTTATTCATCAACCAATAAGAGACACATATATAGAAGGACATGCCCATCACTCAAGTTTAAAAGTAGGCAGTTATCAAAGGGGCCATCGTACTGATCTGAATGTTTAAGTAGCCTTTATACTGTTTAATAATTATTAAAGACTTTGGAACAAATGGCTTTTCTGAGGGCTGTTTTGCTGTCCAAGTAAATGACAGTCTCATTTGGATCAATTCTAAATAGAGGGATAATGTAGTTTGGTTCTAGACAGAGTTCGTGTAGCTCAGGATAGCCTTTTAAAAAAAAAAGATTTATTATGTATACACTGTTCTGTCTGCATGTATCCCTGCAGGCCAGAAGGGGGCACCAGATCTCATTACAGATGGTTGTGAGCCATCATGTGATTGTTGGGAATTGAACTCAGGACCTCTAGGAAGACTAGCCACTACTCCCAACTCCTGAGCTACCTCTCTAGCCCTCAGGATAGTCTTGAACTCATCACATAGCTGAAGATGACCTTGAATTTCTGGTCCTCTTTCTCAGTCTCCTAAGAGATGGGATTACAGAAGTGTATCCTTAGTCATGATAGGCATTGTGTATCTGCTCTTTACCAAATAAAGCCCTCTATTAGACAGTGTGATGGTTTCAATAGTCAACACAATTTAGAGTGGCCTGGGGAAATAATCTCAGTGAAGAACTGTCTAGATCAGGTTGGCCTATGGGCACATCTGTGGCACTAATTACATTAATCGAAGTGAGAAGGCCTGCCTACTATGGCTGAAACCATTCCTATGTTTGGGTCCTGGACTGTTTAAGAGTAGAGAAAGAGAACCATGTGTATTCATTCTCTCTCTTCTCTTAAAGATATTTAGATTTACTTTACTTTATGTGTATGAATGTTTTGCAAGTGTGCTTTTATGTGTACCACATGTCATGTCTGCCTTCTGGATTTCCTGGAACTGGAGTTATGGGTGGTTGTGAACCACCTTGTGGGTTCTGGGAATGAAACCCAGATCTTCTGAAAAAGCAGCAAGTGCTCTTAACTAGGAGCCACTCTCTAGCCCCCTCTCTCTTCTCTTGACCTGGGATTTGATGTGACCATTTGCTCTAAGTCCCTGCTCCCTAATCTCCACAGTTATGGATTGCAATCTGGAATTGTAAGCTAAAATAAACTTTTGTGAGGGTGTTTCATCACCTGGGACAGACGGTCTTTTGGGAAGTTCAAAATGTCATTCTTTTGTCCAAAACTCATGGAGCAGAGCATATAAAATAATCTTAGAAAGAAAAGTTGGGCATGATGCTACCCATCCGTAATTCCAGAT